GGAGTTGATGGAGGGTGCCCCTCCGACGGGTGCCAAGATGTGAGCCTCCTCGCGGAGGTGTAGTACGCCGAGCCGGTCGACGACGAAGTCCAGGCTTCCGAAGAGGAAGGCCTGGGATGGCTCAAAGACGGGTGGAACCCGCATCCCAACCGGTGGGAGAGCGGGAAGTTCAAGCGAGCCAAAGCGAATCGTATCGCCTGAGCCCGCCACGGCGAGGGTGGCGGAAAAGTGGGCCATCCGATGACCAAAAAGTGTTGAACGTACAACGTCTTCCCCACGGACAGCACCAATTGTCGGTGCATAAAGTGACCAACATGTAAATATTTATAGTTTTGCCGTACGTTGTGATCGGAGGTGGCCTAGCACTCAATGACATAGGGTTTATACTGGTTCAGGCAATGTGCCCTACGTCTAGTTGGAGTCAGTCGGTGACTTTATTCCTGAGCCCAGGTGCTCGAAGTCTGTAGTGGGGTTACAAACGAGAAGGAGAAAGATGGGGTGCACAAGAGTTCCGATCGACTCTGGTCGGAAGGGCCGAGAGCGACAGGAGCTCCGCTATGAGCTAAGTGTTCAAGCGTGTGCTTGAGGTCCGAACCTGGCGGTTATGTGGTTGTGAGCTAGTGAACTTGATCGATCTAATGAATCTAAAGGGACTGAGCTTGAATCAACTTGGATCAACTTGGTCTATTGGGAGAGAGTGCATCCCCTTTTATAGATGAAGGGGATGGCCTTATAGGTGAGAGGGAGAGAGTACGAATGCTTCTAAGCCTTGTTGCCCATGCCGACAGGTACAAGATAATGGTAGGCACCCATAACACTGTTGATTCACTGCAGAATGTCAGATGCATGTGGGAGCTTGCGTTGCCTTCTTTAGGAATGGCAGATGTCGGTACCTGCAAATACCGTTGATGCCTAGAGGCATGTGAGGAGTTTCACCACATTCACCCGGTACGGTAAATCCCGGCGCCCACAATATTATCGATGCCTAGAGGCATGTGGGGGGCCTTACCGTATGGGAGTTAATGTCGCCCACAATACTGTAGAAAGAAATGTCGGCGCCTATAATACTGTTTGTGTTAGGGCGGTTGCAGAGTTATGTTCCATGCAGGGTATGGTCCCTGGTACCATGGTTTGACTTGTGCGCCTCGCCCCGCTTTTCTCCGCACGTCTCCTGGTCCCTACCGAGCGGGCGTCCCCGGTCGGTTGATCCCAGTCGGCTCTGATCGTGCCAGTCGAAGAAGAGCGGTGAGCAGGGCTTCTACGAACCCCGGTTGGAGACGTGGGGTCAGAGTCGGAAGTAGTGCTTTTGGCCAGGCCTTACGGTTAAAGAGGCCGTCCGGAGGCGGGCTGGCGACCGAAGCGAGCGCTCCGATCGGAGAGGTGGGCCGGAGTCGGAAAACGGGAGCCATTTCTCCTCGTCCTGATCTTCCGGTCGGAGATTGGATCACTCCCACGGCCTGTCGCTCGTGTATTTGGGCCGGCCCATCAGTTGCGCACTGTCTGCTTGGGCCGAGCCTTGGCGTGGAAGCCGTTCTGCGAGGGACCCCGGGTTTATGAACTCGACACTTCCCTTGTTAGATTTAGACCTAAAACTGATTTTGATTCCAAATTTCCAGTTTCTAATTTTGTTGCGCCATCGCTCGCCGGTCAGAGCCCCTCGCTGGCAGAGCAGGAACTCTGGAATAGGAAGAGTGAAGGGATTTCTTCTCTTTATTTCAATTCTCTGCTGATTTTGATTCTAACTTCTAGGTTTATAATTTCAATTTTGTCATTTCTATGTAGAGTTTGAACTTTTGATTCTAATTAGAATATAATTTTATAGATTTCTTAATTTGTTTAGAAGATGAAGATGACTAGAACTTTAGCATCATGTTGCTCTCTACCAGTATAACACACATATATATAGTCATATAGACTATGGTGTAGCGATTGGTATTTCGCCTTTGAAATTTGGCCCTAGTCTTGACTAAATCCTGGGTCCGCCACTGTATGCGTGCGTGCCACTAGGCTTTAGACATATAGTTAATTAGATTGTAGTGTTAGGGAATTAATCAAATGTGATGTGTGTTGGAAACTAATATAAGTTTCATTCAACAAATATCTTCAGCTTGAGATGCAATAAATTCAATTGTACGGTCACACACACGTCATAAACGTTAGTCGCTAGTAAAGCTCACTTGACTAAAATGCTACTACTATGTTGAATAGATAAAAGAAGAAGTTAAATAAGAGAATTTAATGGCACATTCTTCCAATGGACAAGTTCAATATACTTTGATAATGAAATCATTGATAGGCAATGTGTCAAACTTAATAAGAGGTATGCCTATCCCTTAGAGTAGAACATATGTCACATCCAACTCAGTTTGGATTAGGACCATCGTGGCCCATGTGTGTGCGCATGTGAGATTGCTCGAGTTTAATCCCACCCCTTCTAATCAATGTAGACTAATATATAATTTTACTAGAGCCCATCTCACCAACCTCATAATCATTTTACGTGAAGCGAGAGTAATAAAACGTAAGTGAGTTGGTGGAACTGTGTGATCCACTGGAATGTGTAGAATGGATCCTAATAGTTTAGACTCTACAAGTTGATGCGAGTATGCGGTCCACCAAATGCATGGAGTGGATCTGAGAAGTTTAGACCGTACCCTAGGCCTTTTACATTCAATGTGCAAGACAACACGTGAAGTATTGCAATCATATCACCTCATGCCTTATTGTCCTGCCTCTTTAGCACCATATATTAGTGTACCCACTCATCCATATTTCATTTTCAAATTGCGTCCATCTTAACATTAGTGACATTGCCAGAGTCAGATCATGTCAATATATTGATCTCATCTTTCATCCCCATATAAAGACTTCTCATTTGTTTTAAAAAAGACACATCTTTTTTGAAACGGTAATGAATGACTCTGAGCAGGAAAGGTTTTCTTGGCAATTGAAATGTCAACATAGATCTCGCCCTTTTTTGAAATATAAAAATGTATAAAAGAAGGTTCGCTAATTAAAAGTATATATATGGAAAACATCCGTCTTGATCGAGTCCCTATTAAGTGATGCCATGTCGTTTTCAGGCCCATGGCCACCGAGGGGAGCGCACTGTGGACCAACGAGAGGTAAGCTGTAGCTAACTATTCCCAGGAGTCCCAGGAGTCGGAGCTGCTAATGGCTGGTGCAGAAGTAGGTGTAGTAACACACGAAATTTGCTTTATTGTTTTGAGCAGAAATGAGAAAATCGCCAGACTGACGCCGCTCTCTCGTGGCGTGGGTCGTCCTGGGTCCATCAGCAGGGCCCAACGCCCGCGACCATCTCTCAAGTGCTAGCTAGCTTTAGCTAGTGCTACCGAAATTAGCACACCACAGGAACCGAATATATAATGGGATGGGATCGATCTGATGGAAACGGACGACAGCGACAGATGTGAATCTCGAGTACGACAACAGCCAATAATGGGCGTGCCAAACGTCGACGAGAATGGGTGGCTAGCTGCAGGGACTCCCTGGGAGCTAGCGATGGGTCGGAGGAAACTGAACAAGGAACAGCGACGTACAGGCAGGCAACAGCTGCCTGGCGGCACACTTGCGGGACGTCGTCGTTGAGTCTTTCCGGCGTACGTACTGATTGCAGGCAGCCGCGGGCCCCCGGCGTCCCGTCTCCTTCCTGCTGTCCGCGTCAGGGTCCTTACATATATCAAAAGTATCGTCTCGCGGCAGCACGGGGAGACGCGTGTCAACACGCCAGAGCCTGCATATTAGCTAGCGCTAAGTAGGCCTAGCTCAAATCTCATCAACACTCAACAGTATATGAGTATTTGGGGATGGTTTTCAATGCTGGTTTACAGCTTCAACTCGCAGTGATGAAAACTGTTCTAATCTTCACCACCGGTTCAAGCCAGTAACCAGTGATTAAAATGAATTTCACCACCGTCGGTTCTATTACAAACCGGTGGTGATATATATTCAGACCGGTTTTAATAGAACCAGAGGTGAAAATGTTGTAAGGAAAAAACATGGCAAGTTTCATGCTCGCAGGGACGGTTATGGGGAGTTGATCCCCGTGTGGAATTCCCTGTTTACAAAGATTAGAGGTAGAGTTTTAGAAAAGATCTAGGATGGGTAGTTGTGTTAATTCAAATATGACATTAAAATTTAACTATTGTAATAATGACTATTTACTCCAAAAAGAATTAAAAAGGCTAGGATTTTAGTTAACATGTATAAATATAAATATATATATATATATATATATATATATATATATATATATAAATAATTAATAAGACAGATCCTGAAGCTTGTCAAGCGTAGTCGTCACTGCCTCCTGAAGGCCGGTAAACTACTTGGCCATGTCTTGAACGTCGACGAGCTGCTTCGCCATGTTCTCCATGGTCGCCTTGAGGTCTTCCATTGATGTCGCCATTTCTTGCTGAAACTTGGTAGGCTTCCGCTTCGGCGCCAGATTTTGGTGAGAAATTTTTTTTCCCCAAAATCGGAAGTTTCTTGATACCAGTTGTAACGATCTACCTACAGAATGAGAGATTTGGGGAACAGGATAGCAAGAATTTGGGGTAGGATGGGAGGGACGCCGCGAGAGGGATTCGTGTTCAGAGATGAACGGTTTCAGAACTCAGTTACATGCCCCCTCACCACGCCGAGGCAGACAGGTATATAGCTGATACGCACGCCACAGGCCGAGCCCACACCGGAAGCCGGCTAAGCTACACACACGGCCCATTAGCCACTGGTAGATCGGGACCTTCTCCTGACAGATGGAGTCTTCTCGTGGTGCGGCTCCGCCTGCTTCTTCCGACGACGCAAGCGGCGGTGGCCTCGTCGACGACAAGGGTGGCGCCCGGCTGTTCCCGTGCCTCTTCTGCAACAAGACGTTCCTCAAGTCACAGGAGCTGGGCGGGCACCAGAACGCGCACAAGAAGGAGCGCGTGGTCGGCAGCTAGGACCCCTACGCCAGCTCCTACTCCTACGCCGCCGGGATGGAGCTCGAGGCGCGCGCAGCCAGCGGCAGCGCGCCCTCCGCGACGTCGTCGACGCTTGCGGCAGGCTCTCCGCACTGCGGCGGCGGCGCGGTCGCAGGTGGCGCCTGCAGCAGGTCTCGGGAGGTGCCGCAGTGGGTTGTGGCTGCCGCGGAGCTGCGCTCGGAGATGGTGGAGAGGTGGAGCGACGCCCAGCATGCGCCGGCGCACCAGCTGGACCACGGTGACAGCGTGGTCGGTGTCGACGTGCTCAAGTGGACCAGGTCCAGGAGTGCCCTGGCGCCGGTGGAGGCCTCCAACTCCAAGGGGGCGATGGAAGAGCCCAACCTCGTGCTGAGGCTCTAGCCCGACTGAAGTTGTGTTGTCTACCACCTGTAGGCTGTGTTGCATGATAATGCTTGTACCGGCCGCATGCTTTCTTGATACTGTACACTATTAAAATAATATATGATAATGATGATGATAATGTCATCTACCTGCATTTTCTTTCCTAGTATTGGTTTTGAATTCGTTCTGACTTTCGTAGATACATAGTTCAAATTCGTTCTGACCCTTTTTTTAAGATATATAGCTCTTATTACGTATCTAGATATAATATATATTTCAAAATCATTTCGGTTTTTTCTAGATACATAGTTTTTTTATTATGTATCTAAATGTAATATATATTTAATTACATAGCAAAAGCTATATATCTCGAAAAGCTAGAATAACTTACGGGAACTGCTTCGGTACTTGCCGGCTTCATAAACCCGGGGTCCCCAATAGACATGCTTCCCTGCAAAACCCGGCCCAGCAGGCGACTCAGCGACAACGCACGCCTGGGCTAGCCCAGATACATAATGACATGCCAGAACAACGATCCGGTCTCCGACCGGAAGGCTTGGCCAAGGTTGGACCACAGTTCGGCTCCGATCTTCTTTTCCGACCGAGGATACGCCAGACCTTTGCTCGCTGCTCTTTTCCAACCGACACGGTTAGGGCCGACTGGGAACGACTGACCGAGGACGCCCGCTCGGTAAAGGCCTGGGGATCAGGCGGAGCAGATAAGTTAAGGCGCTCGAGTCAACCGTAATATCGAGGACCGTACCCTGCCATGCTCTGCGCACCTGCTGGACGGTGCCACCAGGCCATGCCAAACGGGCATTATACAACCTTCTATACGCGTCAAAGCACACACAGTATTGTAGACGCCGACGTTTACCATACTACACGAACATCGCAGTGATGGCCCGTTCACATTTTATTGTTTTATAATTTATTTTAATTTATATTTTTTTGTGAAATCGGGTTTAGCTTTATATACGCTACATAGATGACAGGTCCATCAATATTAAACATTATAAATGTTACGGATACAGTTCAAATGTCCTTATCAAGATCTCGATCCAGAAAAATAAAAAAGAAATTATTCGATAAGATGAAGCATGCTTCTCGGACTTCTTACAATAATCTAGCGAGCCGCTCTGGGCCATTCTGGTCCTTGAACTTCACGGATTGTACAATGTAAAATACTCCATCTTTTTCCAATACCTCGGCTAAGATGAATTTTGCAAGCTCCGATTGCAGTGCGACGATCTCCATGTCTAACAGCCTTTCGTGGTTATATTTCTTGCGCTATAGTTCAAAAAAGATGATATCCAAAGAGAAATCAGTAAATTATTTTGTTGAATTATTAACAGACAAAAATGAAATGGGGATTATACACACCAACTTATCTGCTTCTTCCCATTTTCCGCTGATGTAGCGAAGCATTGCCTACATTACATAAAACCCGCATTCATTGTTCCCGTCGGCTGTTTTTGGTACTTCCCCTCCATTTCAACAACCTTGAATGGGACCTACATCCCACTGATATGTCTTCTTTGGATAATGTGCAACATTAAAAGGAGAAATATTAGAAAGCGGTATGTGTGATTAGAAAATAATATGTTATTAGGATCGCTTACTAATTCAGCACTGCCACCAGTACATCCAGATGATGAAATGATTTTTTCTTCGAGTCCCACACCTCGATCAGATTTTTAGCAAGATTGACACAAATGAAGACGAAATAGTTGCTGCAATCACAGAATCCTAATTATCGAATAATCTTAACAAAAAAAGAAGCATAAAATTAAAAGCTGAGAACACATACTCGCAGTTGTAAGCTAGAAGTATGTGGGTTTTGTTCTTCATCTTGAATTCATCGAAAACAGCAATCAATCTCTCTTTTAGGTCTTCCACGAGCCTATGTTATCTCATTTGTTTTTTAGTATGCAAAATTTTGCTATACACCTACATAAAATCATGGAAAGTGCTCAAAAGTTAATAATTTATGTCTCGAGAGAGTAGTTAATTGTAATATCATGCGTGTAGGGTACTTACATAGTCCACAGCGTCAACATTTGTGAATCGAGAGAGCGTTTTCGGTATAGCTAGAACAAGCACTTCCACTCGACATCGAACATCTCTTCTTCAGGATAATGAAAAACATGTGACGAACAGATAATAACCTCAAAACCAAAGTTCTCCATCTCTATTGCTTGAGCCATGTAATATTCATGCAAATGGCGCATATATATTGTCAAATTTTTATACTCGTCGTCGAGAACCAAAAGATTGCCCCTTTCATACTTCATTGCCGGTGTTCCCGTCCCTTGTACATCATAATAGATGTTCGCGGCCTCTTCCATGGTTAATTCAGGGTTGTCTTCGACGTACTTCTGTATCTTCCTTAAATCTTCATTATGTATTTCTTCGGCTCTTATTGTAGAGTACTTATTCTGTGTTTGCCTTTGGAATTCGGACTTCAACAAATACTAAGGCAGTGAGGCATAGAGATTGAAGAAACTAACACAATCTTCCTTCGAGATGTGTGCTGTAAATTTTTATTTCATCAAGTTTGTAATGCTGCCACTGAACGGCCTTTTATTTTTTTGTTGGTCCACTTTGGGAGCATTAGCGATCGAATTCAAGGACCTTTTCTGTGACTGTGAGGATGCCTTTGATCTTGTTTTGGGCTGAGGTGGAGGAGGAGGATGATGACGACGATTCTATTTTCTCGGGGCTGATGAAGATGGAGGAGGAGGATGAGTCTTCTCTTTTCTCGGGGCTGATGAAGATGGAGTTAGACGAGGAGGAATGGAAGGAGACCTCTGTCTTCTCAGGAGCGATGGCAAGGGATGAGGAGGGGAGTGATCTCTATTGGGAGATGTTGAGGGATCATCGCAGGTGGGCAAAGAGTCATAGTCGTCCTCATGATCAGAGGACAATTGGTGGTCAAGCTTAATGAAGCGCTTGCGCCAGGCCACTTGAGAGCCCTTGTTATGACCAAGTTTCATCCTGTCTTCCGCTGCCGGATACTCAATGTGTATCTTGTTATACTTCTTATCAAGTAATCTGTCAATGGTGACGCGAGCGTACCCCTGTGGAATTGGGTGGACATTAATGGTCCCGTCTCCCATAGGCCAGGCCTAGCCGAGCGCCGCCTTGTCCTTTGTCCATTCCTGACGGATGTACTACTTGACATTGATGGATTCAGTGATGCCATCCACCAGATGAGGCACATTCGCATCTTCTTCGTCGAGCGAGGTCGATCCGTAGCTGCTGCGACCCCTCAACTGTTGGCTAAAGGTAGTAGGAGTAGGGTTTTGTGGTACTCTTGACCCCTTGGGCAGCAAAATTAGTTGGACTCATGCTTCAACAGTCGCCTCAATCCGTGCATCCATTTTGTCTTCTATCTCTTTTAGTCGCCTCAAACACTCTGCCTCCTGTTCTGCTCTACCCCTCGAGTGGCTCCGGTAAGTGTGAGATTCTTCGGGGAATGCTAGTTTCCAAGAAACAACACCGGTTCCTCTAGTGCGACTAGGGTGCTTCTTGGTTTTGAGTGCTTGGGTGAGCATGTCTTTCTCCCTATTAGAAGTGCGAGTCCCTTGCCTAAGCTCCCGTCCTCGGCGTGGCGTACATTCCTCCCCATATAATATATTACCGATCTTGGCTCCCAATGGGCGGTCTCAACCTGAACGCCTTCCTCAGCAAGGCAATCCATCTTTTCAAGTTCTGCTTCAAATTCTGGCATCTTTTTGGTGTAGCCATGAGAGCCGAGATGATGAGGATTCGTCGCTTTCTGTGAGTTCTCCTTATTCTTCCTGCTTAGTTCTAAGTACTCCTCGGATAACCTATATTCCTTGAAATCCTGCCAGAAGTTCTTCTGCTTGCTAAACTGTCCACCATCGAAATCTGGCTTTTTATTTTGGAGGACAAAATGCTTGTACAATGTCCCCTTGAAATTCTTGAAGCATGTCCCCATGATTTCTTTTGCTTTTTTCTTGACTACCTCCTTGTCATACTCCGTTGGGAAAGTGAAATACTCTATGATCTTGATATCTCATATGTAATCCTTCTCACTTTCTGGAACCCTCCACGGGTCATTATCTTTCCCAGTCCACTTCCTGTACCTAATCGGGATGAAGTCCCTTACAAGTAACCCGAGGATAGTCTTGTATTTGATCAAAGCTATAGGCGGTGAGAGTGGATCCCCGAATTCATTGAACTCAGTGATGTGCCAGTGTGCATTCCTACCAACAGGAAGCTTTGACACAACTCGCTTGGATCTGTCCTTCATGCTACCTGTGGGGGATATACCCCCGGGTACCACAAGATGGTACATGGGCCGTACCATCCGAGGTGGTCCGGCCCGTAAGATCAAGGCGTGCACATCAAGATTACAAGTTGTACTAGATATTGTAATAGTACCAAATTGGATACTTTACTTGTAACCTTGTCTCTTCGGAGTATATAAGAAGAGACAAGGGTCCCCTAGAGGATAGGTTAATCTGTATACATCTCAATACAATACACCAAAGACATAGAACGTAGGGTATTACGTCGACCAGACGGCCCGAACCTGTCTAAATCGCTGTCTCTGCGCCTTGTGTCACCATCTGGTTCCTGATCACACGCATCCTACCGATAATCTACCACCACGGGCACCCCCCTCGGTGGACTACCGACCATATTTTGTCGACAGTGGCGCGCCAGGTAGGGGACCCCTTTAGGGGTTGTGCGTGCTAATCTTCCGGCAAATCAGATGGCGATTTTCTTCATCAACATCATGCACGGCAACTTGGCTTAACGTGGCGAGATCTTGCGGCGATGACGACAACAACCTATGGGGTTCCCGCAATTCTACTCGGTGCAAAGAACAACAGCCCCAGTGTTCGGCGGTCTCGCTTTGCGTCTCCAGCATCCATCGCTCCAGCTGAAGAATTCATCTTGTTCTGTTCGACTTGAGGTGTCGCCTTCTCGGTTTCAACGACGGCAACAATGTCAACATCAAACGTCTAGAGATCTCAATCATGATC